TTTTTTTTTTTTTTTTTTTTTTTTTTTCCTACCTTAATTCGATCTTTTGCCAACTGGAGAATTCCTTTAATCTTGGTCGTACACTGAAATTAATTGTTTTCATCCACAAAAATTACCGAAACCAACAACTTAACCAATTTTAAATCTCCACAAATAAAAAAAAAATCAATCTACATGCATAATTTTTTTAAACGTATACCTGCTGCACAACAGCATCACGATAGAACCGGTACGTATGAAGTAGCATTGAAATTCTATCCACTTGCAAGCAATATATTCTTCCATAGCTGACAAAGATTAAGAAAATATGCATATATGAGTTTTAAATTTGATTAGAAATAAAATAAATTTCTCAAAAAATGTAAAAAGATAAAAAGGAGCAAATTGACAGAGTCCCCTACACAGTGATAATAAAGATGTCCTCTACAGCTAGGACAGGCTTGCTGTTAGCATCAGATTTTGCCATGGCCATCTCAAACTTAGGCAAGCGAACAATCCCTGCTGCTGAAAGCTAAACAAGAAAAAAGCATCCAAGTCAGACAATGAGCAGATATTCAAGTTTGGTAATTGAAAATCTAGCATAATTTACATAAAATAGCAACAAGATAAATACAAAATATAACAAAAATTAGAACATGTATATATCAATTATTACATTTAATTTAATCAATATGTAGGCTGTAAGAGAACAGTGATTATAGTAATTACAAACTTGAACACTCTCTGGGGAGTTTATCCTCGTATTCAAAATTTTTGCACCTGAAATCCATGGAAAGTTTTGCACTGCATCCCAGAAGCCATAAGCACCAATCGACTTTCATGCGTGTAGGCATGCCAGCTCACATTCAATTTCTTTGACTCCACCAAATGGAGGGACTTTGAATCAGACCTATAAGCAAACAAATCCAGTCCGCTGCAAGAAAACTTCACCTTAGCAAAATAAAAATATCTACATGCAAAAATTACTGACAGCACCCTCTAAATCCTCGATAATAAAAAAAAAGGAAGAAAGCAGCAAAATAATAAGTGGATCAAATGATACTGCATTTTGAAAGCTATGTCAAACTCAAATCATAATACGAAAATGATAAAGGGCACTGACATGCCCAAGTTTTTTTTTTTTTTTTTGTTTGCTAAACGTAGGGGTAAAGGGGCAAGGAGCGTTGTAACAGTCCAAGCCCACCACCTAGCAGATATTGTCCTCTTTGGGTTTTTTCTTCAAGGGCTTCCCCCTCAAGGTTTTTAAAACGCATTTGCTAGGGAGAGGTTTCCACACCTTTATAAGAAATGTTTCGTTCCCCTCTCCAACTATTGTGGGATCTCACAATCCACCCCACTTAGGGGGCCAGCGTCCTCGCTAGCACACCGTCCGGTGTCTAGCTCTGATACCATTTGTGACAGCACAAACCCTCCGCTAGTAGATATTGTCCTCTTTGGGCTTTTCCTTCAAAGGGTTCCCCTCAAGATTTTTAAAATGTGTTTGTTAGGGAGAGGTTTCCACATCCTTATAAATAATGTTTCATTCCCCTCTCCAACCAATATGGGATCTCACAAGCGTCCAATGCTACAAAAAAAGACTCCTTATGTCTAAGACTCCACATTGAATACCAAATTTGTACAATGCTACAAAAATCAGCAAAAGTAAAGGACTTATCTTCAAAAAACCATTTTGTTTCGTTCCTTCCGAAGTTTCCAAATCAGCACACGAGCATAACCCAAGTTAAAAATAACCATCAACCTCATCCTTAGTAGGATAATTCTCTTAGATTGACAATTCAACCAAGATATCCTCGAAGTTCTATAATTTTCTCCTTTAGCTTTTAAACCATGAAGGAAAAGTTTTGTTTCTTCGATTAAAAAAATTAAAAAAGAACAAAGGTATCCTAGAGAAACTAGATGTGGCAAGATCAAGAGACTAGGGAATAGCTAATTTTTATTTATAATGTTTTTGGAGCCAAAAAAACTATGGACGTCCAACCATTAACCTCCAAAATCAGATCATACAAATTCCTTCATATAGTTCAATGTGCTCAGACCCCATTTTGTATGCCCTTTTTAGTTTAACAACCATGGTTTATTTATTAGAAACATTTAGATACCTCTCCTATCACATTGCCTATTCCTCCAAAAATTGTTCGCTTTCTAACTTTCCAAAATCTCCCACACAATCACAAAGATAAAGTTTGTCTAATGATATTAGGTTTCCCCTGCAAATTATGTCTTGAAGTGATTCCAATTTTCACTCATAAACTTGAAACGGCCTTATAACCTGCTCTTTTACCTGGTTTTCACAAATACTATATTGCACAAGGGACAATCAGTCCAAAAAAATCCCAGAATGCTCTCTGACTCTGGTCTACAACTCTGACTAAAAGTTTCGCCTGTTTCTCTGATTAAAAACTGTATCTCATGACTTGATCTTTGTATTGCAATAATCTTTAAGTCCAAGGAATATCGAATAGATAAAATGGGCCCTTCCGTAACAGCATCAGCAGTATAAGTGACAGCAGGATTAAACGGAACAGTTTTCCATGAGAAGATCTATATGAAAAAAACAAAAGAAACATTGTCAAAACAGGTTTATAAGCGCCAGATGCACTTTCAGAACAAGTACATAAAGCAGCTCAAGATCTATTACCTGATCCACGGTTGGGCAGATCAATAACTTATTTCCATCATCAAAAAACAATCCCCCTGGTCCAGGAATGCTACATCTCAAGGGCGGATATTGTATATAAGCATGTGAAAGAGCACTGGATTTGCTTAGACCAGCATTGGGTTGTAATCTCGGCGGTCTTCCAGACATTTTATCAAGTCACCTCTTAACCTTGAAGAAAAGCTTTTGAAAGTGGAACCAAGCAACTTATGCAACCCAAATTAAGCTTATTCACTCATACCTCACTAAAAAAGGAAAAAAAAAATTAATGACATTAGGAAAGCAGAAAACATGTGCAAATGTTCCAGTAGATCTTTATAAGACGGTTAATACCACATCCGCTTCAATGTCGTGAATGTAGAAAATTTCTTTGATTGCTATACTCCCAAGGTAAAGCCAAGGACAAAGGAAAATTTCTCCCATCATTTTGATATTTTCTTCAATGAAGCAATGATGCTTATGGTTTCCCCCGAAGCTGAATCCAACAACCATTTGATTAGTTGAATGCAAATATTTCAACAAGATAAAGCCAAGGGCATTTTTGATGATAGCTTTGTTTTTCAGTTTTTGTTTTTAGAAATTATGCTTATAGATATCATGCACAACTATGTTCTTTTATTTTTATTATTTTCTTTTTTCACTTTTATATAAAACACTCTTGTGATCTTGGCCAAACTATTCCTAGTTTTTAAATTTGACTACGGTTTCAAAAACAATTTTGAAATTAGATTAGAAAAGGAATAAAAATATGGTAAATAGCATAATTTTAAAAAACAGAAAACCAAAACCAAAACTCTTACCAATTGGGCCTCACAGTTATTTGATTCCTCATACATATTCCTTTTTTTCTTTTTCTTCTTTTTTTATAAGAAACTTTGTTTCCTCATATTTGTTAAAAAAAAGGAATTGAATATTGATAAATACCGTATTTTGCATGCAAGATTTTAGTGCAATAAATTCTTTCAAACACATATCACGTTCAACTTTTGGAACCTTTGCGGCAACACAACCCCCATATTGTTTTGCCTACACAAACAAAAAAATAAATAAATCAATCAAATTTAAATTTAAATTTTTTAATAATAAATAAATAAATAATAACGCATACATGGGACCTCAATAATAAATGGCCCCTGGTCCATGTTCTCTTACTTTCCTAAATCATCTAAATCACAATTCGAACAATAAAAATTGTTTTTTTTTCCAAAGTTTGTAACAGTTCCATAAACACAAAGCCACCAAATAGTATCAACCATGGTAGTAGAAGCAGCAAGCATGCAGGTTGAAAACAATCAGATTGCAGTACAACATGTTAGCTACTAATCAACACTTCAAATTCATGAAATGTATTTCCTTAATATAAGAAACAAAGATATTAAATAGGGGGAAAAAACAAGCCCAAAGGCAAAGAGATTATATATATATATATAAACATACATGGCTATACCAATGTATGTATATATGCATATATAAGCTGTTCAATTAGTGCACACAAAATAAAAATTAATAAATAAATAAACAAATAAACCTCCCCAACGAAATTTTGGCAATTGTAGATAAAATAACCAATAGCCAAGACCCCAAATTTTTGCTATTAAACATAGATTCACACTTCTTTCTTATATGAACCAAATGCATCGTCAAAAATAGGTATACCTAGGCTAAGGGGCAAGATGCCGATCCTCAACCAAGGTTATGATTCTAACAAAAAAAATGGCACTCCAACGACCATATCTCATTGAATTTATAGAATTGCCTATAAAAGAATCACATACCTGAGACGCACAAGTAACTAGAACACGCTTGAGCAAGGAAGCCGTTGCTTTGTCCTTGCGGTCCATAGCACTGTGAAAATTGGTGTACAAATATTATATTCAAGCACATATGGTCCATAAAGCTTCGTAGTGTAATCTAACAAAGCATGATTTCTTTAAGCGATAACAACCCACAATTCAAATTGTGCCCTAGAATCTCACTCCTCAGAAATTCAGACTTCTTGGGGATACATTTTTATAAGAAATTGGTGGAAAATTGACGCAATAAAACTTCAAAACAAATTAGGAAAAAGGAAAAAAGACATCAGATTTACCGAATCGGGCAACACCCATACGAAAGAAATCGCAACGAAGCTGGCGATTCTGTGAGGAGAGATTGATAGATAGATAGATAAACAGAGACCGCGGGTGTGAAATTTTACTTGAGAGACTGGGAAAGATCAAATTTTCTTCTGGAATTCCTTCAGGCGGCAGCGTTGTTCCGAGTTTTGAGACGGATGGCGGGTTTACCAGTATCTGCTATTTAACAGAAAAGTTACAGTCAAGGGGTTTGCTTCCTACTGTTTACCTCGCAAATTTCTATAAATTAATATTCCCTCGACTTCACATTAATTTTGTTAAATAACTTCTTTTTTTTTAAGCTAAATAATTTAATTTTTACACTTTTAGCCCATCATAGATTTCTACTTTGTCCTTCCATTTTTTAAATTAACAGTTTTGACCCAATCTTTAAAAAAATAATTACACGAGGTCCTTCCACGTGAATTGAAATATAATTTAAATTAGTTAAATTAATAAAAATATTTTATTTCAAAAACACATCTAAACTTTCAAATTTTCAATAATAATATCCTTTAAAAGTAAAAACTCCAAAATAAAACAATTTCACCACATTAAACTTTAAAAAGAATTTCAATTTTTATCATTAAAAGAAAAATGAGTTTTTGAAAAAAAAAATAGAATTTTGTTTTTTTAATACTTTTAATTTATAATTTAAAAAACGACCAATATGATTATCAAACGAGACCTTTGTATATAATTTTTGTTTTTGATCACTTTGAACAACACGTCTTATTCACAACACAAAATTATCTAATAAGACCTTGGACTTTAAAAAATACCCGAATGTTTAATTTTGTGCTTAATAGATTCATGAATTTTAAAATGTCAAATAAGTCGATGTCCTATTAGATATAGAATTGAAAGTTTAAAAACCTACTAAAACCGTTTTAAAGTTCATATACCTATTCGACATAAACCTGAAAGTTTGTAATTTAACCAAATATCAATCATTAACTTAGTATACTAATTTGATTTAGCACTAAACTTATATTGGTTTAGTTTGCTCGACCAGTTTTCCAGGGTTACTCAATGACCCCTTGTTATAGATACAGAATTGAACCCATAAATTATCAGAGATGATCACTTCAACAATGAATATGCTAGCAGTAATGACATTAGAAACAACACAGAAAAGAAGCTGTAGATGCAGCAGATAGAAAACTTATACACGATATTGTAGAACAGTTGCAAGTTTCCCTTTGAATGTTCATCATTTCCCTCACACCCATCACCCTAAAACCTTTCTAGAGATGCTAAAAGCTTTCTAAAGACGTTTTGGATTGGATTGTGTAACACAGTCAAACCTCATCACTAGCAGATATTGTCATCTTTAGGTTTTCTCTGTCGGACTTTCCCTCAAAATTTTAAAACGCATCTGCTACGGAAAGGTTTCTACATCCTTAGAAGGAATGTTTCATTCTCCTCTCCAACCAATGTGGGATCTCACAAATTGGTTGTGTTTATTACTCATAGATCTCCTTTCGAGCAACACAGAAAGGTTCGTTCTACAATTTGGTCCATTTGAAGTGAAAGGAACTCAAGAATCTTTCAACGATCTTTGTTTCTTGGCTATCTATTGGTGTAAACAATTATAACTCTCTTATATCAGCTGGAGATGTTCTTTTGTAATCTCTATTTGATGGGCTCTCCCCTTTGAACATTTCATGTAATCGACCAAATTGTTTCCTTTCCAAAAAAAAAAAAAAAAAAAAAAAAAAAAAAAAAACTCTCTAGCCTCTTGGTCGATCTAGATGAACTATGCTAAAGTTGGCCTCCTATACCCAAAACCATTAGCTAATCAAAGTCCGCGATGAACTATGCTAAAGTTGGCCTACTATACTCAAAACCGTTAGCTAATCAAAGTCGACAATGAACTATGCTAAAGTCTGCCTACTATACTAAAAACCATTAGCTAATCAAAGTCAGCGATAAACTATGCTAAAGTTGGCCTACTATACTCAAAACCGTTAGCTAATCAAAGTCGGCAATGAACTATGCTAAAGTTGGCCTACTATACTCAAAACCATTAGCTAATCAAGGTCAGCGATGAATTATACTAAAGTTGGCCTACTATACTCAAAACCGTTAACTAATCAAAGTCGGTGATGAACTATGCTAAAGTTGGCCTACTACACACAAAACCATTAGCTAATCAAAGTTGGCAGTACCATCCACAAGTTCCACCCAAAAAACAATGTTTTGATTTAACCTCTTCTACATCACGTGGAGTGATTTGAATCTTTGACTTCTTGGTCGAAGGCATATGATTCATCTATTATTAAATGGTAACTGCTATAACCGGCGTTATATAAGACACTAAAGCTTTGAAACTCTTACATTTCTTATGAGAATAACGGATGGTGCAAGGATAATGTTCTATGGGTGCAGAAGAGGAGGAATTACATGCTAAATGAAGAAAACCTTAAGGCCATCTAGTTTATGAAATGGAGAAATGTTTGGTGTAGTAAGAAGCTCAAACAGAAAAGCAATGCAATAGATCATTGAACGAAATCAAAGCTTTCAAAAATGGTAGCGTAGCTAAGAACATTTTGACGAACAGCCAGCAGAACACACAGTTCAATCTCACAGTCATAACCAAGGCAATAGAATCATTGAACAAAATTTAAAAGATCAGAAGCTTATATTGATCCAAAAGAAGATAGTATTATTTCCAAATCTAGTCAAGAATGCAAGTGGAGATTAGAATCAAAGCTATACTAAGTCCGGAACTCACTAATTAACAGATAGAACCCTAGTAAAAGTAAGTCTAATCAGATCAAATCAAGTTTTTAGCAGAATTCATAATCGAAATGAGGGAAAAGGTGTAATAATTTGATCCAAGCCTGACCTAAATCAGTTCGTCTTAGGATCTGGCATCGGGAACAAGCCGGCGGCGGCACCGGCGCCTCTCGGTGGCGAGAATCCCAAGAACTTCTGGAGATTTGTCCGAATGCTAATCGAACAGAGGAAGTACAAGAACGCCATTGCGCAATCGGTAGGATCGTCACCGAGTAACCCTCGGTGACTCATTTTCATCACAAGACCAAAAGGCTTAAACGGCAATTTGGCAACAACCTTGCCCTCGAAGAGCGAATTGAGCAATCCAAAGACGACAAACAGAACAAGAGCAACAACGGCGCCGGATTTAAACTTGAAAAGCGAGAGGTCGCGGCTCGATTCCTTAAGACTGGTCTCGACGCGATCGATCTTCTTGGTCTTCGATTTCTTGACGTTGATTTTGGAGGTGTCGGTCTTCATGGTCTCGAGCTTTTTGGCGGCCTTGTCAATGGAGGATCGAAGGGTTTTGTAGGAGTTGGTGCGGTAGATGAGAATCCATGAGATGGCCTCGCAGATGACGGCAGTGCAGACAGAGATTCCGACCACCGTGAGGCTGTCGGAATATCGGAAGGAGGAAAAGAGGGGGATTGTGGCCATCGCCGGAGTTGGAAGAGAAAATGAGGGAATCCGAGGGAAAGTGCGATGAATTTTTGTTGAGAACTGGATTTGGATCCAAAGCAGTAACTGGGCTGAATCTGAATGATGTTCCTTCAAATAAAAATATCAAATTTGTTCTTCTTCCTTCTTGAAATTGGGAAAGATGTCGTTCCCATTTCCCAATTCAAAAACAAAATATTATAGGAGATTGTAACTTGAAGGTTCTTGTTTTATATTTACAAATTTAATCTATTTTAAAATTATGTGACCAAACATTTGTATATATTTACAAGCTTCAAATTTTAAAATTTAAATGAATATAATGTTTTATGTTATAAACTCATTTGATTTTTATTAGACTAAAATACGTTTAAAACTTAATATTAATATTTTTTTATGCAATTCAATATTTTGCTTTTATCTAAAACTATTTTATATGTTTATTAATATATTACCAACATAAAATATGGTTTGAATTGGGATACTCCTTCTAAAGGTGTGTAAATCTCTTTCCAGCAAGCACATTTTAAAATGAGATTGAGAGTGCTAATAGGTCAATCTCTAGTAAACATATTTTAAAACCATAAGATTGACCGTTAAACGTAATCTCCAGTGAACACATTTTAAAACTGTGAGATTGATAGTGCAACGTAACAAGCCACAAGCCTTTAAAATTGTGAAAAACTGTGAGATTGATAGTGAAACGTAATAAGCCAAATCGGACAATATTGTAGACGCATTTTAAAACCCGAGACTGACAGTGAAACGTAACAGGCAGGCTGTGACACAAATAGTATCAGAGCCAACATTAGTTGAAGAGGGAGATCCCACATCAGTTGTAGGGGAACAAAACATTCCATAGAAACATCTTTTTAGTAGACATAGGAACAAAACATTCCATAGAAACATTGATGCTAACACGATACAAAACAGAGTGATACATATTCCACCTACAACTGCAAGATAAGTCTTGATATATGTCTAATTTGTGCAGCAAAATGTTTGGAAATTGGATAAACAAAATTTGGTTGTTTTATCATTGATCATCACAAGAATATTATGGGAAGGTGATGCAAATGATAAAGTTGATAATCTCTGATCCATGTTGGTTGCTTAAACTTGCATCCAACAAGATTGATACAATACATTACTATTTAATCTTAATCAGATCAAATTCCTAAGTTGTTTGGTTGAAAAAATGCTGATAACTAGATGAGCAAGATTTGGGCATCTTGACAACTTCCTTTCAACGATGCTTTTAAGCTTTTAAGATTACAAATTACAGGAGAGATTACTGTGCCTGTGCCTGTGCCTGTGCCTGTGCCTGTGCCTGCGCCTGCACCAGAACCTGTATGTTAACCAAACGTGTACATAATCTCATGGACGTGGTTGAGACTCAGGTCCTGGTGGTTTTGTAGAATTCATGAGTGGTTGTAGAGCCTTCACCACAATTGTCATGTTTGGCCTGAAGTCCGCTTCGTACTGAACACACAGTGCTGCTACTGCTGCCAACTGACAGAGATTCACACCAAACAATTCTGAAATAAGAATCCATTCTCAAACATATATAAACATGAAATCCACTCAAGAAAATGTATGGGGCTGCTTTTGACCTTCCTACCCAAGAGAAACTATCATGTTTCAGAGTAATAGATGATTATCATGGCTTCTTAGACCCATTTACTAATGTTCTCGTATCGATAGCACGAAGTCTGTAATAGCCCATGCTCACTGTTAGCAAATATTGTCTGCTTTGGCCCATCACATATCACCGTTAGCCTCAAAGTTTTAAAACGCTTCAATACTAGAGAGAGGTCTCCACATTCTTAAAAGGAATGTTTCGTTCCCCACTCCAACCAATGTGGGATCTCACAATCTACCCCCCTTAAGACCCTAGTGTCCTCGCTGGCACACCCCTCTAATACCATATCTACCAAAGAGATTTCCACCTCCTTATAAGGAATGAGGATTCAATTCTCACCGACCAATGTGGGATATCAAAAAATGACGAAGTGTTTTATAAGCAAACACTTTAGCTTACTTTTAGCCTAGTATTTGATTGGAAAGCATTAATGCACTTATATGAGCATAGAACAAAACAACACAAATGGATTGTTACTAGGCAATAATCGAAGTTCTTGCTAAGGTACTTGGATTGAGATCACTTTGAAAATTGCACTTATGTGATTACACAGTAGAAGATACCTTTGCTATCGCTTTCGGTGGGTAATCGTTGTTTAGCTTGGGATCTACACACTGTTTCACCTTGTCCTCACTTAATCTCGGTGTTGCCTGCAGAATAATATGAATGGCTAATTAGGACTGAGGACACTGCAGGCACTAGGAAGAATGTAGTAAGGGAAACCTTACCCAAGTAACAAGACTTTGTTGTCCCTTAGGCATCGTGTGATCTACTGGCTTTCGTCCTGTCAAAAGTTCGAGAAGAACTACACCGAAACTATATACGTCACTCTTCTGAGTAATCTGTCCTGTCATAGCATACCTAAAGAGAGAAACCAATGAACATGGAAATAGAAATTCAGAACCAGAAAGGAGGTAGAAAGAGTTTAATCCTACTTTCGATTCAATCAGGTGCAAGGCAACGTAGCTAAGACATAAGATGGTAAGTTTTAAGTTGAATCCGCTCAAGCCCACCGCTAGCCGATATTGTTTTAAGTTAAGTAATCTTTGGGCTTTCTCTTTCGGATTTCCCCTCAAGGTTTTTAAAACACATCTGCTAGGGAGAGGTTTCCACACTCCTATAAAGAAAGTTTCGTTCTCCTCCCCAACCAGGTTTTTGAAACTCGTCTGTTAGGGAGAGGCTCCACACCCTTATAAAGAATGTTTCATTCTCCCGTCAACCGATGCGGGATCTCACAATCCACCCCGTTAAATCTAAACATTTGGAGACCAAAATGGAATTTAACGTACACAAGTAGACACACAAAGGGCTTACTCTGGAGCATGGTATCCAAATGTTCCTAAGACCCTAGTTGAATGAAGTCGTGCCGCTGTGTCAGACGACTGATTCGTCAAGTTGAAATCAGCAATCTTTGCAAGGAAGTCGTCGAAGAGAAGAACGTTACTCGACCGGATATCACGATGAACTATGGAAGGCTGAACCTTCTCATGTAAATATTCAAGGCCTTTAGCTGCACCGTAGGCAATTTTGACTCTCTGATTCCAAGTAAGAACAGGACCAGGCTCAGCCCCTTGTACTCCTTTTCTTCCTGCACTAGAAAAATGATCAGAACAACAAAAACAAGAAACTCTCTAACTTAAATCGACATACCATGTAATATATCGTGCAGAGAACCCATTTTTGCAAACTGATATATCAATATTCGATTATTTGCCTCCAAACAATACCCAATTAACTCCATAAAGTTCTCTTGCTGAAGTCTAGAAACAATTGATAGCTGCAACACCATGACAACGCATAAATACAATAGCATTACAATGAAGGTACTAACATCTCATTCATACTTGTTCAATATCAAACCTGAGCGGCAAAATCAGTATCAGGCTCTGGTGAAGAACTAGTATCTAGTTTCTTTATTGCAGCAGCCTGACCACTCTTTAACGTCGCGTAATAAACCCGGCCGTAGGAACCTTCACCGATAAACGATTTCGTACCGAAGTTACCCGTCAACCTATTTAGCTCATCCAATGGAATGACTGGTGTTTCAATAGGCAACACTTGCTGGGGAGGTCCACCTCTGACGGCACTGGAACTCCTGGGCTCTCCTCTCTCGCTGCCTACAAACCATAAATCAACATACATAATCCCAATCTCAACAAACCACATCACATCATCCATAGCCACAAAAAGGCAAATCCCACATTTGAATCCACAGAGCCAACCAATATGCCTAAGAACAAAGACTAAAAAACAACAAAATTCAACAGAATTCTGTGCCTCCCAACAAACAAATTGCGTGCAAGAACAGAACAAGGAAAGAATCATCAGGAAGGACCATTTACCACCATATGTGTTTCCCCTCGGTGGGGCTGTGTATTGACTCGAAGGCGCGCCAAAATTGTCCTCCTCCACACCTCCGCAGCAGAACATCGCTTCTCGTCAATTCGTGGTAACCTAAAAAACCTACAGACACGGGAAAATTCATCAAATGCGTATAAAACAAGACGATCGAAATTAGAAAAGGGCATCTTCAAAATCGAAGATATAAACAAGGACTTAAATTAAAAACCCATCGGAATTTCGTCCAGGAAATGGAGACCCATTTGCGGATCGCGACGATGGAGGAAAGAAAAGAAAAGGAAGCGATCATTGTAATGAAAGATGAAGAAAAAGGAGGGAAAATTGACCTGGGATGCGATTAAAAATGGAAGCGAGAGACAGAAGAAAGAGATTGAAAGTGAAAGGAGAAAGGAGGGGAGAGGGAGAGGGAGAGGGAGGGGGAGGGGGAGGAGGAGGAGGAGGAGACTGCCAGCAATGGGTTCCTGAAATGGCGATGGGAGGAAGGTGCATTTTGTTCTATTTAGCGGGAAACTCGGTTGCGATTTGTATAACCGCTAAAACCAAACCCCTCAGACGTGCCTTCCACGTTGCACGTTCATTCTACCTTCGCCTCTCCTTTCTATATTTTTATTTCTTAATTCATTTTTTTTCATTCTTATTTATTATACACGTCAATAACAAAAATACATTTGTGTGAGCTCTAAAAAAATCTATTATTATTTAAAAATTAAATAATCATAATATATATATATATTCATATAATTTAAGATATATTTATTTATTTTTAGGGTAGTAAAGTCTCATGCTCTCACCATGTCATATTCTTTTGCATTTGTCACATTATATATTCAAAATTTATAGTATTTATTTTAAATTTATTTGTTGAAAATAAAATAATGAAAAAGACATTAACTTAAAAAATAACATTAATAACATACGTTTTGAAAGTTCATACAAAAAAAAATAGAGAGAAATGTTTGAGCTGTTACAAAATATATCAAAAGAAAAAACTCAAAAACATTGAAAAGAAGCCTAAAAAAGATAGTATCTGGATGAATACCGATTCCGTTGCGTAACATTGAAAGACGTGTTTTAAAATCGTAAAGCTGATGGCGATACGTAGTGGGCTAGAGTGGACAATATCTACTATTAAAGGTCGATAACATTGCCAAATCCAATTTCAGGGATACAAAATAATTCTAAACACAACAGATTTCTCCATCTACTGCTATCAGGATGGTCTGAGAGTGTTCTTAGGAGCACTTATCCATGGAGTTCCTGCAATGGCAAATCTCCACAAAGCATTCACGTGCTCTGGCAACGCATACTCGATTCCAACACGAGGACCTACCAGGATGTTCTCTGGCTCCGGAGCGTCGAGGAGTTCTAAACCACCTAAAACACATTCATACATACATCATATGACCGAGTTCTTCGAGGGGCATACAGGTAGAAGCATTATAATGACAGTTACCGGGAGCGTAAAACGGGTGGTTAGACCATTCTGTTGATAACCCGAGCGCTTGGCCAACCTTTGAGAAAAGTAAGACATAAATTTGGTGAGCATACAATGATATGATTCCTCTGGACATTTTAAGATTAACCAGAGTCAGCCTCGTACAAGCAAGGTTTATACTATAGATCATAATGTACATGTAACAGCCTAAGCCCACCAATAGCGGATATGGTCTGCTTTGGCCTATTGTGATATCCCATATTGGTTGGAGACAGGAATGAAATATTTCTTATAAGAGTGTGAAAATCTCTCCCTAGTAGACATATTTTAAAACCATGAGGCTGACGGCGATATGCAACAGGTCAAATCAGACAATATTTGCTAGCAGTGAGTTTGGGCTGTTACAAATAATATCAGAGTCAAACATCGAGTGGTGTGCCGGCGAGGACGCTGGACCCTTAAGGGGGTGGATTGTGAGATCCACACAGTTGGAGAGGGGAACGAACGAAGCATTCTTTATAACAGTGTGATGCGTTTTAAAACCTTGAGGCTGACAGTGATACATAACGAGTCAAAACGGACAATATCTACTAGCAGTAGGTTTGAGCTATTATATGCTAAGTGCTTCAAATTCACCCAAATCCCTAAGGAAATGCACGGAGTTTACGGGTTCACTGTGAGATGAAGTCATCTTTTGGTGGTCACTTCTGACCAGGGAAAGTTCATTAGTTTCATCTTTAAGACGAAATAAGCTGTTTCTATAAATAAAAGGCATGGAGAAGGATTTGGGAGGGGGCGTCGAACATATTTCCTTACCTTCCCGGGACCAGTAAGAAGAACAGGCTTGTCTGTGATTTGACCTCTCCGTTTCTGAATCGTCTCCAAGCCTGTATATTGGTTACATTAATCTAACAATGCAATTAAGAAAGCCTAAAGTGAAAAGTTACATCCTTTAGAGAGTTGTAATGAATATGAATCTCAATAAAGAACGATGGATGCGCTGATACCATTTGTAACAACCTAAGTCCACCGCTAGCAGATATTGTCCGTTTGGTTCATTACGTATCCCCGTCAACCTCAGAGTTTTAATACGCGTTTGCTAGGGAGAGGTTTCCACACCCTTATAAGGAATGTTTCGTTCCCTTCTCCAACCGATGTGGGACCTCATGAAAACTATTGTAAAGAAAGGATAAGACAACAAGCATAATTTTCAAACGGGTCTTAACAATTCACATATTCCCTAACTATGACATACCGAAAAACAATACATTTATTATAGATGAACCGCGTTTACAGCCAGCTCCAAGAAGCAGAAATGGACCTTTACGAAACAATTCTAACCAACAATAGAAAACAATTTCATTTGGGTGCTGACTAAACAATGGGCTCCAAGTACAAGGGAAAGCATCTAGAGGTGGTTGTATAACAGCCCAAGTCCACCGCTAGCAGATATTGTCTTCTTTGGGCTTTCCCTTCCATGCTTCCCCTCAAGGTTTTAAAACACGTATGTTCGAAAGAGATTTCCACACACTTATAAAGAATGTTTCGTTCCCCTCTCCAACCGACGTGGAATCTCACATATTGCTCATGGGTTTGGTTTGTGTAAGCTTGAATTAAGAACTTCGCGTATATTTGATAGTTCGGTTAGTTCATTCCAAGCTACCGGATCTTTAATCTCACAGGTTGGCCATGTGAAAGGAAGTCATGTTTTAAACTTACTTTTGTACAATATACTAACTTCAACAAATGATAAAACCACAAACTAAAGATAAATCACATGAGCTCAGGTTTGTATAACCTACTCTTAAACAATCCAAACACACATTATACGAATCCAGGCTTCGAAAAACTGTGTCAAACATTAGATCAAAGAACTTAGGTACAAGCAGGCTAGAAAGTTACCACTGACAGGAGCACAAGATCTGACTAACACAGCAGCACCAATTCCGACCTCATCGGCAACAACATTCAGCATCATATGGAGACCGTAGCAAAGATAAACATACGCATGCCCGCCCGGTCCAAACTACAAATCCATACAACTTGGTTATGAAAACATCTACAAGAAGTAGACATCCCATTCTTCATTTTCCCATCAACAATCAGTTCAGCTAAAAAGTACTTACTACTGGAGCCGTTCTAGCTGTGACACCAAACCGACCATGACAAGCAGAATCATTTGGTCTGTAAGCTTCTACCTATCAGAATCATTTCAATGGTCGGGTCTCAATAAGCCAATACAACTTTTTCACAAATCAAGATATCATCACAACATCAGCATGAGAATTCCAACTCCCATTAGGAGAAAAACAGATTTCAGTAACTTGGTATTTAAACAGACAAACAATCAAACAGGTTGTGTGCATTTATCTCAGTGACTTGGACAGATTCCCGTTCATTATAATCCAAATCAAATCGCTTAAGCAAAAAAATGAATACGCACAGACTTTAAAAATACAAGAAAGAACGAGGAATGGATACCTCAGTAATCCGAAGAACAACGTCGTCTCTCCTGAGGAGCTTTCCGAGCAAGCGTGGGGCGAGGTCCAAAGCGTCAACGAGGAAGAACTCTTTGGGGAGGATCGTGAATCCCTCGGAAGAGGAAGAGGGTGAGGATTGAGCGATTTGGGTTTGTGGGTCGGTCACGGGCTTCGATTTGGCACGAATAGTCACCGATTTGGTGCGATGCCCTGATTTTCTCTTCTTCCTCGTTTGAGGTTCACGTCGGAGCTCGGTTGAAGAAATGGGGGTTTTGGGGTCGGCGACTTTCTTGAATCGATGAGTTTTGATCATTTCGTAGGAGAAGGAGAAAGCGAAAATCTGAAATGGGGATTGAGGAATCAAGACAGAGCATGGGTGCCTGGTCAGAGCTGTAGACATTCGCGGAAGTCTGACCTTTCTCGCGGGTTTTGACTTTCTCGAACTGTCAACGGCTTCTTTATGTTCTTTCAAGAGTTTTTTTGTTTTTTTTTTTTTTTTTATCAAATAAAATTCATAATTTTCGAAGCTCGATTATAACTTTGTACTTAGCTATTTTATTTCTTGTTTTTTTTAATCAAGGTTATAAATACTAATTTTACTGATAAAATAGTTATAAAAATTAAAATAGATATTGTAAATGAACTAAAACAAATACTTAATATATATATAAATTTAATTTAGAATCAAATAATTAGAAAATAAAATTTAAATTTTTTGTCCAATATTTTTAAATATTAAAATTATGCCCCAATTATGGTAAAAATTAATAACGTGACCAAAATCAATTATTATTTCCATGAATAGGAACCCTATTTTTTTTGATCCGAACGACGATGTGCCGCCATAGTTCTAGAGACTTCTACGCCGAGAACCTTCCGAACTCTGCGGGTTCCCTTTATTGCTTCCTCCTTCCTTACTTCTCGTTCGCTTAGATCTCTCTGAAACCCGCTTGAAATTCTCCCTTTCTCAGCTCTCCGACGTAATTTTCCCTCTCCCAAGCTCCGGTAATGGCCAAGTTCGGCGAGGGCGACAAGCGGTGGATCGTCGAAGAACGTCAGGACGGCACCAATGTCCATAACTGGCACTGGGCGGAGACGGATTGTCTCGAATGGTCCCGCAATTTCATGTCTAAGCTCTTCTCCAATCTCCTCCTTCTCGACGGCGAGGGTGGCCTTTTCATCAAAACCAAGAAGGTCGACAAGGTCGATGGAGAGGCCTATGTCAATATTCGGAAGGGGAAGATCATTCCTGGTTATGAACTTAGTGTCACGCTCTCTTGGGTAGGCGAGGCCAAGGATTCTGCCGGCAAATCTGTGCAGAAGGTCGATGGGCTTGTGGAGATTCCGTACATTTCCGATGAGAACGCCGATGAGGATCCTGAAGTTAGGGTTTCTGTCCAGGATGAAGGGCCGATTGGGAAGAGAATGAAGGATGCTATGTTGGCTAAGGGGAAACCGATTGTGTTGGAGAAGGTGAGATTGTATGTGCAGAGTATGGCTAAGGGTGGGCCTGCGAAGGATGATTTGGAGGCCAAAAAGGTGGCGCCGAAAAGTAATCAATCTGCTGCGGCGGCAGCTGCCCCTGCAGCCCCTGCGGCGCCAAAGCCTGCAGTGGAGGCAGAGAAGAAGAAGAAAGCTAAGGAAGGGTTTAAGACAATAACTCTGACCGAGAAGTTTAGTTGTAGGGCAAACATTCTGTTTGAAATTCTCATGGACGACAATAGATGGAAAGGATTCACTCAGAGCAATGCTAAAATAAGCAAGGAAGTCGGTGGAGAGATCAGTATATTTGATGGGTCTGTCACCGGGAAGAACTTGGAGTTGGAAGAGGGGAAGTTGATTGTGCAACAATGGAGATTCGGAAGCTGGCCTGACGGCATTCATTCCACGGTGAGCTTTCAATTTTGTTCCACTCTTCTTTACCCATCTCCTTCTCAATGCTCTGTTTTCTGGTATACCTTAGGGAACATTTACTGGTAAAATTTAACGATCTTTTGTTTGAAAGGGCTGATAATTTGGATGGTTGAATATGCGGATACAACTCATACTCATTTCATTTCTACAACTTTCAATTTTACTTTGCCCCTTGTTAACTATAGTTTGTCATATGTTGATCAAATTTATGAAATTGTTGTAGCTCAAGCCAATCACTTATGGCATTATATCAGTAGAGAAATGCCTACAATTCAAGGGTGTTTCTTGCTAGTATGGATTCGTTTAATGGGTTCTGGTGATTAATCCAACATATCATCAAAGCTAAATTGGTTCTGAAAATGGTATGTGCAGGTGAAGTTGACGTTCGATGAGCTCGAGCCGGGGGTTACCATTGTGAAGTTGGTACATTCCGACGTGCCTGAGGAGGACAGGTTAGTTTTTCTGATCAAATGGTTGACATCTTTTTTACTTTTACAAGTTTCAATCTCAGTTTCTGTGGTTCTGTTAGCTAATTTGTTCATCTTTTGGTTTGAAATAGATATGGGAACGCAACTGTAGTGGAGAACACAGAGAGGGGCTGGCGGGATCTTATTTTCCATAAGATCAGAGCAGTTTTTGGATTTGGAATGTGATGGGGTACTGTCTTACAATTGAGTCCAGTCCTTTGACTTGTGAAGAAGCTTTTCATTTGCATATCTTCATGAATTAAAATTACTTGAAATGCTTCATTTTTCAATTGTCAGATGATGATGGTGTGCTCGTAGTATGTGCTGTCTTCCATCCGTATTTGAGAATGAAAATTCATTGTTGGATTCTGAGTTTTGACATAAATGAGATACAATTGTCATTTCTTTATCACATTCTGTCTTGTTCTCTGTAACTCTCATAATCTGTCTTGTTAATCTCATCCATGTTTTTGTGGCCAAAGGAATGCTTTCTTTTCCCTTTAATAGCTATAGTTGAATTAATGCTGCAAGCATTTGGTTTTTCATTTATGATTGTGAGACTTTCAGAAGCTTCCAATAGAGGCCCAAGTCTACTAAGAAGAGGTGTTAGGATCACATGATAGGTTTATATGGTTGGAAATATTGTAACGTTGAATTTATATTAGGTAGATTGTTGTGTAACCGTTCAAGTTCACCACAAGCAATATTGTCTCTTTGGGTTTTTTCTACTGGGCTTCCTCTCAAGGTTCTAAAACGTCTCTATTATGGAGAGATTTCTTCACCTTTAACAAGGAATGTTTTGTCCTCTTCTCCAACCAATGTTGATCTCATAATGCACTCTCTTTAGTATCTTTGCTGACACACCACTCAGCGTCAGGCTTCGATATCTTTTGTAATGAGCTTACTACTATCTGATATTGTCTTCCTGGCTTTTTCTTTTAGCTTTCTCTCAAGATTTTAAGACATCTCTATTAGAGGGGAAACCCTATACTTGTTCTCACTCCAACTAATGTGGGATTTCTCCTAGCTTTGGAAGAGGATGGTGCCGTCTCTAGTGTTTTTTTTTTAATGAGTTTTAGTGTCGAACCTGTACTCATTTGGTCTTTTTTGGGGCCCTCTTCATGTAGGTTGCCTCATTTTTCATAGCTGACCATGTTTGGCTCTTTAGGTTCTGATTTGAAGGTTGGTCATGTCATTGAATAGAACAGAATCATGAAGGAAATATATATGGGTTTGCTTTCCCTGAAAAGGCTTCTTCATACATTGATTGAAACATACCCAAATTCAGAAATATTCGAACACGATAAACAAGAGATCTATACCTCAAAATTATACACACTCTCTGTCCCTAACTCAACAGTTTCACATGTGTATGAAAGAAGTTTGGGATTCTTCCATGTTTAAATCACCTCCCAACAAGCTCTGTCAATTGATCGGCGAATTGGGTTTCTCTCACAGAGCTGTCTGTGTCATCTCTGGACGACGGCGCCATTGCCGGCCACATGAACGTAGGCTTTTCATGAGGCAGAGTCGGTGGATTCATTTCCCCTGTAAGCACTTGCAGAACGTTTTTCATCGTCGGCCGTTGATGCGGATTCGGATGGCAACAACCCAATCCCAAAACCAAAATCCTCTCCATTTCTTCCTTCTCATATTGCCCTGCCATCCTTTCATCCGCAGCTTTGACTATTTCCCCTCTCTCTTGAAACTCCCACACCCAATGCGTAATATCGCCGTCGTAGTTCCCGCCTATCTCCGACGGGTTCGCTGCCTTTCTCCCGCATGCCACTTCCAGAACTAGAACTCCAAATGCATACACGTCTGTCTCCACCGTCGCCCTGCTCGTCAGGAAAATCTCCGGCGCCATGTACCCTCGTGTCCCGGCTATCTCTCTTGTTGAATGATGCGTCTGTTCTGTTCGACGAATTGTCCGAGCCAACCCGAAATCTCCCAGTTTTGGTTCAAATTTCGAATCCAACATTATGTTTGAAGACTTCACGTCTCTGTGTAGGACTGTCTTCTCGCACCCATTGTGAAGATAATCCAAAGCTTCAGCCACCCCATAAATTATGCTCAGTCTAATTTCCCAATTGAGTCCGGTGGAGAACCTGTTATCGACATAGCCACCGTCACCGCCGCCGCCGAAAATCAACTTGTCCAAGCTGCCGTTTGGCATGTATTCATATACAAGTAAAAAATCCCTCTTCTCGTAGCACCACCCAATTAGCTTTACGAGGTTCTTGTGATGGAGGCCTCCGATTGTTGCCACTTCTGTTATGAATTCTTGCTTCCCTTGACGAGAATCCTCCGAGATTCTCTTCACGGCGACCTCTCTGTTCGTTAAATTCCCTTTGTAAACCGTTCCAAATCCGCCTCTCCCGAGCCTGTTCTTGGGGTCGAAATTATCCGTTGCCTTCTTCAATTCTCTAAATCTGAACTTTTGAGCTCGTGGGGCTATGGAGAAATCTTGAAGCTGATCTTCAATTCCGTCATTGGCTTCTTCCAAATCCCTTCTTCGTTTCTTCATGATCCAAAACCAAAGAAATCCAACCCCAAGTAATAGAACAACTCCACTGACACCAACGCCCACGGCGATATCGACCCATCGACGACGGTTGTTGGATTCCTCGTCGTCGACATCATCGCCGGTGAATTGCCATGATTTTATCCAATTTAGCTGTGAAATGTAATCGAATTTTGAAGCAGAGAATCCAACATAAACCTCATCAGGAAGAAAAGAGAGATTCAGGGGATGAAAAATCACTCTGCTTTTCAATTGATCTTCCAATCTAGACGACAAAGACACAAACACAGCTATATTTTCGCCATCAAAATCAACTCTGACGAAAACATCCGCCGTACCCGAAAGATTAACTCCAATCCCTGACAGTGGCACCTGCAAAACAGAGTCAACGCCGTTCAAATCCAACCCCACGTGGTTCCCATCAACATCCCCTGGAAAATTCTTCTTCGTATCAAATTCAATCGCAAATATTCTAGCTTCTGGCATCCCATTCGTCTTCGAGTTGGCAATCCCCA